ACCTAAGTTGCCCCATGAAGTCATTGTAGAGAATTCAAAAAGATTTGAGGAAAATAGAGCATTAAATTGTCACACTGGACTCACAAACAACCCCTCGAGTGGTCTAACAAAGCTGGTCCTGTTCCTAAGATGCTTTCTTTTTACTAGACCAAGAGGATAAGTCCTGAAACGTAAAGTTGGCTTGGAGGAAAAAGGTGCCACTAGTACTCCTTTTCTTTTTGCGAATACAGACACACACGGCTGCTACTCTGAAACTTGTCAGTCTGGTTTCACTCAATAAAACACACTGATGTTTGTGACAGTGCTCACCAATTTTAACGACGAACACTATGCTGTTATCTTTGTTATGGTTTGAGATTCTTTAAAGATTCTTGTATATGTGATTTCACAAATGAAGTTTAAGAATAAAAGTCATAGATACACTAAAAGTCACTCTTCCCACATGGGAACAAATGGATTCTTCACTCACCATCCTAGAACTAAACCTACTCCTTATGGAACCACGTGGGGGGGGGGGGGAGAGAAGATAAAAAGCGCTTAACAAAAACTCAGGAATGTATGGCAGCTTATTGCTGTAACAGCAAATTTCACTATTCTAAAATAAACCAGCCAAGGGTAATGAAATTTAGAATATAATATAAGGGTTTGGCTCAAATGTCCATAGCACAAGGATGTTCAGAATAGAAGATGGCCAGAATATGGATTCAATACCATGGGAGGTTCATGCACTATTAGTTCCTTTTTAGAGTCTGACTGAAAACCTGACAAAGTCAATGGACAGGCTCTTATTGACTTCAGTGAACTTTGGGTTTGTCACAACTGAAAAAGATCTGTTATGATCTCAGCTTAGTCCCTATTTGTGTATTTTGTAAAATCACCATGCCTTGCCTTGATTCATAGTTAGCAGTCCCTGTTCAGGTGAGGGCCAGGAATATAAGCATGTATGTTGTTGATCAAAATTCAGAAGTATTGGCAAAGCCACATGGAGGAGATTTTGCTCAGTGCCTGCAAACCCTTGCTAAGGGAAAAAAACAAAAAGGAACAGAAACAGAGCTAACCTCTGACATCCAGGACAGTAATAGTTGAAGTCCAGCATATTTGAATGAGAAGCGGAAAGGGCCATGTACTTGGGTGTGCTCCCCACACTGGCCCTGCAAGAGCTGAGTTAGGGCAGGTGGGCCCAATCAGCTGATTAGGCTGCAAACAAGGGAATTTTAGGCTGGATGCAGCTAATTAGAGAGAAGCTCACCTGCAAAGGACAGGTGTGGTTTCTACAAGAGGCAGGAAATTGGAAGCAGGGGAGGCAGCAGGGAGAAGTGTTGGAGGGCTAAAATTACTCCCTGGGAGGGGGGAGTGAAGAGACTAGCAAACCCAGAGGAGTAGGGGAAGGTCAGATGTGGAAGCAGCTCAGGGAAAAGCAGCAAGGTGCAGAGAATAGACCTTGGCTGCTGTGTAGAGGGTCCCTGAACCAGAAACCGGAGTAGAAGGTAGGCCCAGGTTCTCCTACCACCCACTGTCAGAGTGGCACTGTGAGGCAGTGAAACGGAAGACTGCCTGAGACTGCTGGAGAGCAAGAACCTTGATACTCACCCTGGAAGGGGAAACCATAATAGTGACCTGGCCACAGGGTTAAGTCACAGAGAGAATGCTGTGGTTCCTGGAGCAAGAGAGGGGCTGCAGAGGAGAAACTGATGGGTAGAACCCTGCACGGATAAAAAATTTATATCTGCAGATATAAATTGGTACACACGGAGCTGCAGGGCTTTACTGGGAACCACACCAATGAAAGCAGCAGCATGTTGAGCTGCCCCATCCACTGGGGCAGGCACCGGGCCCACTGGGGCAGGCACCGGGCCCACTGGGGCAGGCACCGGGCCCACTGGGGCAGGCACCGGGCCCTGGTCTAACTAGTGTGTACAAGTGGCTTGCATGCTCCCAGACAGGAGATGCAGACTGCTGCATGGAAGGGACTTCTGTCCAGCAACACGGAAGCTGCTTGCACACACTAGTGCAACCAGGAACAGCTCCTGGTGAGCCTGGTGCCCACTCCAGTGGGTCGGGCTGGGGGCAGTACAGCCATACCAGAGCAGCTGCCCGGGCTGGGTGCTGGCTTCTGGAAGGGGCAGCCCGACATACTGCTGCTTTCACTGTTGTGGTTCCTGGTAAAGCCCTGCAGCTCTGTGGATACAGATTTATGTATTTATTTATATATCTTCATCCATGGATATAAACTTTGTAACTGTGCAGGGCTCTATTGATGAGGTATAACTGCTGGAAGGAACATTGGCCTGACCAAGCTAATCACCAGAACCGCCAGGAAGTGACACTGTCCAGGGATGAGTGGAGCAAACCTGGCACATTTGGAGGAGAATGCAGGCAGGATGGTTAACTCTGATACATGGGGTCAATAACGGACCGTGTCTGACAAGAACCATGAAGTGAGTGGCAGAGACACGCTGTAAGGTAGTTGAACTCTGCTGCAAAGGGCCATAACAGAGAGAGAACCCCTAAAGAAGGCAAAAATGGAAATGCTCACAGTACGGACTCTGTCCCTTAGTAAGTTGTCCCTTACTAGGGTGGATGCTGGAGTTGCCGCTCCCACAGAGGGGAGCTGAGAAGCAACAAGGGTGGGTCCATGCTATGTGAGGACCAATATTTGAGAACCAGCAGATACTGTAGAAAGCCCATTTGTATTTACAAGACCGCATGGTGCGGGTACCTAGGCAACAGCAGCAGCTGTACAGAATCCTGCAGGGAAGAAGCAGGAGTCATCGTAAGGGTCAGGAATGGGAAAGGTGCTCCGGAGCTAGGAGGCCAAAAGCCCAACCCTGAAGATGCTATAGCTGTGGGAGCAGGGGGCACCTGAAGTGGGAATACCTCTATCTGAAAGGAAGCAAAGAGCCTTACTAGGGGGCAAGGACTGAGGTGAGGGACCAGAGAGCCGACCAAATAAGCGATTGTGTTGGAGGACCTGTTTTTGGTGTGGGGAAAGGGCATATCAAGATTGGCTGCAGAGGAGAAACTGACGGGGTGTAACCACTGGAAGGAGCATCAGCCTGACTGAGCTAATCCCCAGAACAGCCAGTAGGCAGCACTGTCCAGCAGTGAGTAGCGCAAACCCAGCATAGGCTGTACACAGGGTGAGACTGGAGGCACACATTCAAAGATGGGTGGCACTATGGCTACCTATTAGGAGGCACCATCATTATATCAGGATATCCTTTAAAGCCAGAAATCACCTGAGGGATATGCCAACCAAAGACCAACACAAAACAAATCTAACAAAAGATTGGGCAACCTTTATTTACTGAGGGTGATGAGCAGCTTCATGATAATGCTTGTAGAACACATGGGTCATACAGAACCCAAAATATCCATGGAGCAATACTGTCATGCAGATGCCCCAGTGATGGAGAACAAAGGGCCATATATTGCTACTTGCACGTACATCTGCTGCATTCATCTAGCTACACCTGACTGCACCAGCCTCAAAGAATTTGTCTGGTTTGCATTTCTATATTGACTACTTTGTGTGCACTGCATCTTTTTATCTTCCTGCACAGAACATGCCAGAGCATTAAATATTAAATCAATGGTTCCCAAACTTGTTCCGCCACTTGTGCAGGGAAAGCCCCTGGCGGGCCGGGCCGGTTTGTTTACCTGCTGCATCCGCAGGTTTGGCCAATCGCGGCTCCCAGTGGCCATGGTTCGCTGCTCCAGGCTAATGGGAGCTGCTGGAAGCGGCAGCCAGTAGGTCCCTCGGCCCGCGCTGCTTCCAGCAGCTCCCATTGGCCCGAAGCAGCAAACCGTGGCCGCTGGGAGCTGCAATCGGCCAAACCTGAGGACGCGGTAAGTAAACAAACCGGCCCGGCCGCCCCCGCCAGGGGCTTTCCCTGCACTAGCGGCGGAACAAGTTTGGGAACCACTGTATTAAATACATACCTGGTATAAGCAAAAAGATATGCACATATTACAACAGGAGGGGCGTGAGGAAGGATAAATATAAAACAAAACCCCCAGAGTTCCTAGGACCCTAATGCACTTGTTCAGCAGTACCATTCAAGTTTGCATTTTCTGCCAGCCTCTCTCTTACACTCCCTAATGAGGGATTCTCTCACCAGACCAACATTTATTGAGACAAGACGTAGTTTCTGAAAGAAGCAACCGAAATTTGGAGCAAGGAGGAATTCAGAATTCTAAAGTACTGACACCTTGACCCACAAAACAATTTGCAGGTGAAATATCTTTCCTCTGTTCCGATCTGCCTTCATTCCAGGCAGATGGTTTCTTTAGATGGTTATATAAGAAAAAAAATGCACAACTTGGTTTCTGAAATACAGTTTGAGAGTTATTGCTTTGTAAATGTGTGAACAGAGTAGCTACACCTCTCCATACTCTGCCTAGGAGAGAAACAACTCAGAAGATGCCTTCCATCGACACATAATCATCTTCTCCTGTGCATCTCCCTTATCCATAAAACAATGTATTTGAGCAGGACAAATGTACATGCCTGGGAATCTTTTAGGGGATTTAAAGGAATTCTTATGGTCTAATGCCTTTCCATACAATCTAACAGAGGACAACATAAACTGTTAGATTGCACTGCACAGAAGGGAACAGCATGCAGCTAATAAACCATTGAGGCAGGCTTCATTCACAACCAAGTTTGTTTAACTAAAGCCGTTTGCAAAGGAGAAACTCTGTTATGCAGCCAGTAACCTCAACAGTTGGGACTACATGAAACAAGAGCACACATGGCAGAAATTCCAGAGGAATGGGAGAATAGCACCCAAACACTGGGGGGGCGGAGAGGAAGGAGCAGAGGAGAAATGTCTAAGTTCCTCTATAGAGGGTTTTGTTCTGCCCTGTGCCTTTCTCATTAGGACCTCAGAGTTGTGATTCTTGTCTGTAATCAAACATGGATTACTAAATGAATTATTTAACTACATTGATCTATGGCTATTCCCTGCTTAATGCCAATTTTTTTTTTTTTTAAACAGAATCCACTCTGCTGGCTCCATTTTCTTCCTGCTGTGAGTATCATTGTGCCTATTAAAATTCAAGATTATGCGAGGAACTAAATACCAGATTAACCTGTTAAAGTCTTCAAGGTTCAGAAGAGATAACTAGACAGGTCAAAGATCTATTAATCTGATGCATTTAATCCTTCCTGTCCCATGTGATCACCTGTTTAAGATCTCAGCCTGAATGTCTTAAATTTACAGGGAGAGAAGAAGCTGGTGGAGGCTGCACTAATGAGTAGATGAAAAGAGAGAAATTGACTAACCCTCTTTTTCCCTTTGCAGTAGGTTCTCTATATAACATGGAAAGAGAAATGAAATAGGTTACTAGCTGATTTCATCTCTACGCAGAAGCAGATAAAAAGGGGAAACAGACTCCTCTTACTCACTCTGACTTTGTAGTAGGCTCCATACGTGAAGAGCTTTGCCTAGAAGCAAAATGAACAATCACAGGCAATTGCTCACTGTAAGCTTTTACAGTTGGAGACAGGAAAAAGAGGCCCAAAAGTGGGGATAAGGAAAGTAAAGGTGACAGAAAAGGAAGGATGTGTAATGAAATCAAGGCAGAACAGCAAAGCAAAGGGAAAAAGAAAGGAAAAATAAATCACTTGTGGTAAATGAGTTATTCAGTCATGAGTTAGTGGACTGTTATCATGACACATATGGCACCATTTGCATGCCCCAACAGAGCTGAAATTATGAGACCAGTTTTCATCTGTGACCTGGCTCTTTCACTCAGGGGAGTTCTCTGCCCTGCTGATGCTCATCTGGCGTATGATCCCTTGGCTTAACGCAGTTCACTTAAACATAGGCTGGCACAAACAGGTCCACAGAATCAGGAAGTTATACTAAACTCTGATGTTCCTCCGCCCCACTCTCCTGTGTTGAGTGGAGTTCAGATGCGGGAGAGACTCTGTGGGATCTTTACTAATAGATAATAGGAACAAGCAGCTACAGTTTACTTGTGCCATCAATGTAATATTATATATTTCCATTTTTTTCATACCTTTTTACACCTACTGGCCTGACTGTGTAACCCTTACTCAACGACAATGCCCAAGGATTCCAATGGGAATCAGGGTCAGGCCCTTGGAATTCTCAAAAGCCTCACTTTTTAATGAATTACCTAAAAATGAATTAAACTGAAAAATTAATCCCATAAGAAAAAAACATGGCTAAATTGTGTCTAGCCCTGTAGGAGCGCGCAGGGGCAGAGGGCACAAACAAGCCTTCCCCCTGTCTTTGCAGCAGGCACAATCCCAAGCCTGACATGTCTAGTGCGCAAGGATTATGGCACTAATCTTGCAAAGGAATCAGACTGTTGCACCCACCTGGAATCCCACTGAAGTAAATGGAACTCCCCAAGGGCAGATCATTTTCCAGAATGGGGCCCCATGAGAATCTATTGCCAGTCGGTAGAAAGACCTGCCTGTAAGATAGAAGACTTTCCTTTGACTTCAACGGACTTTGGATCAGACCAGAGTGGGCAGCAGGTCTAGTGTTGCCAAATAAGGTAGGACTAAGCCAGCCCTGTGCCTTCTGCATTAGCCTGTGTATTGTACAGAAGAACGTCCAGATTGCTCCCTAAAAGAGAATGCCAAAAAAGGCTTACACTTTCTCAATGCAATATTGTGCCTCTTTTAGGAACAAGGCATCTGGAAGCAGCTACCGGTGCTCAGCTCTTCTGCTAAGTCTTGCGGCCGAACTATAAGAAGTTCCTTAAAACCACAATTTTGCCCTAAGACAGTTATCATGCCAAGAAAACATCTTGCACTTTTTACATGTGATCTTGCTCTGCTTTTTTGGCAGCCCAGCAATGCTCTTGCAGTATCGACTGTTAAAATCTAATGAGCCATCTTGTGGTGTTCTGCAGTCTGGACAGCTTTTTCCCTTTTTCGTTCAGCATGTGTTTTTAATTTACATGTCTCCCTTCTGGATTTCACTCGTCATTTCTTTTACTTGGTCTCCAAATGGGGGGAGGGTAACTTTCTAAAAAGCAAAACTAATGAACCTGCCTTGCTGATAGCAAATAATATTCACATCCACAAGGCTCTCTATTCAATTAAATGCAAAGTTAGCAAAAAACAACCCAAACTGTGTATAAATTGTTTGGTCTGCATTTGTCAAGTTGTAACAGTGTGTTTGAAAACACATCTTCTGATTGGTATTTCAAGCTATAGTCTTTAGAAAAATAATAGTTTGATTAGTATCATGGGTGTTATTACTTGAAAGATTAATACTGTACCTTAAATGAGATTAAAATGTGGGTAGTAACTACATGAGCTAAATACATTAAATACAAGTAGTTTTCATTTTCATTCAGTGAAATGTCTGGTTGGCAAAACTTCTTTTTAACTTTTAAGCTCCTTTAATCATTTATTTTCTTTTTCTTTTATTTGAATTTAAAAAAAAAATCATAGCCTTATGGAAAAGTTCTATAAAATTTAGTGGAAAGGCTACCAACTTTCTTTAGAGTTTTAGACCAATCCTATAAGATTTAATAGAGAATTATAGTCCTTCTGCATAGAATCCTACAAATTGATGCAAAACATTAAAGAAATATCATTCTCTATTATATTCTGAAGGGTTTCAGAGGAAATTTTATAAAACTCGAAAACTTTTGTAAAACCCAGATATTGATTTCATCTCCCTCTAGTTCTGCAGGACTTTCCACAAGGGTAGGAAATGGAGGACAAAGCAATCAAAGAGTTCTTGTCAAGAAATCCTAATTACTTACACATGTGAATGCACTGACTAATTTAAGGCAAGCAATTAGTTCTCTACTTGTGCTGAACATGCAATTACATTTTTTAAATAGATGACCAACCCTCTTAGACCACCCCAGTTGTTTTTCTGCTGTCATTTAGGCTTTCAGTAGGCTTGTGTTCCACTTTCAGCAGGTGGCACTAAAGAAAAGTGCAATTGCATGACTAACTAGCTTAATTGTTGCAGATTGTCACTTCCTTCAACTTCGACACATCAGCCCATTGCTTGTTTTCTAACAAAAAACTCTCATCTGTGCTCTTGGAAGTTTTCATCAGACATTTTGACACTTTCTCTTCAACCCTATTATTTTTAATCTGAGACAGGAATATATTTAATTTCTACCTTTGTTAACATCAGGTAAACTGTACAATGCCAGGACAGTGACTGGTGTCGGGTGCCCTGTAATTCACTACAGCAGTCTTAGTGTTCTAATAAAATTAGAAGAAATCTCTGTTACATGTTAACCATCATTTATCACTTGACATGGAATGTTAAGTTGACTTCATAATATCTCAGAGATGCAGCTAAACAATACAAATCACTTACTTTACTATACTGACATTTAATCTTTTGTCAAGCTGTATAGCAAATTAGGAGCAGTTTAGCAGCAATTTAGCTGTGAATGAATGCACCCACACACAGGGAATATACGGATACCTTTATTCTCCCTGAATACTATCTTACTCCTTAAGTGGTAACACTGAAATCAATAGGGCTGCTCATAGTGTAAAATATTTCTCAGTATGAGTAAGGGTAACACAATCTGGCCCTTAGTGATTATGGAAATGTGGAGCTATTACCACTAGCTTGAGCCAAGCATAGCAAACTCAAGTATTGTGGCATGGTAGCTTTAGCAACTGCAGCTCAGTCTTGATACTGCTGCTATTCCATGCCAGGATTTGTCATTCACAGAAACTGCCAATTATAACAATTTTGGCCAAATGCTAGGGGCATTCTATGATGTGCAAAAATGAAACCAGAAAACTGAAACAGGAAAGTCATTATAAAGTCAGCTAGGTTACACTTAAAGCCAGACTCTGGCTGGCACTTGCGTGAGTGCTCAAGGGAAAGAAGGATATAAGCCATCACCAAAGGGGCGGGAGAAGATGGAGACAGGCCCACCTCATCTGCTGCACACCCAGTCGGTTGATTTGGCAATTCATAAAGGGAAGGACACAGTGGACCCTCCCAAGAGGCGGTGCAGTGGTTACCCATCTTAGAAGCTCCAGGAAGCATAGCGCCTCCTTAAGTCACAATGATTCCAGGTACTTTGACCTGGGTTAGAGTAGCTCCACAAGTGACAACATCTGACCCCCAGTATTCTAATCTCAGTTATACGGGTATGAATCCGGAATAACTCCACGGATGCCAGTGGAGTTACTGGGGAATTATATTGGTGTAACAGACTAGAATCTGCCCGACACCTTAATTAGAACAATATTTACATTCAGCTGTTACCAGCATTGCCCATTCAGCCCAGCAGATAAGTCACACCAGATGCAAACGTTGAAATGTCACATGAACATATTTATGAGCAAGCTGACAACACATCAAACAGAACAGGAAACAGTAAACCTGTTTCCTGCCAAGCTGTCTAAAATCAACTATACAGTCTGCAATTATGCCTCACTACATTTTCATTATCTCAATCTTAGAGCAAAATTAACTGTTAATTTATGCTGAATAGAGCAGCAGCGTCACTGCTTGGTCATGGCTTGGAGATTTTTTTTTCCCCTTAAACAAAAAATATTTCTAAAACTTCCTTGTAAACAAACACTAACAGAACTAATTTTGTGTTACTAGCTGTGGGGATAATCCTGCAGTCCTTATCTGGGCAAGAGTCAGGACTACATCATTTGGCCTTATTATTAGCAAATCAGCATATGGGATTGTATGAATGGATGATCATTTCTGAATGTCTTCTTTAAAAAGAAGAGGCCTCCAAAGAAACTGTAGGGGATGTGTAATGGAGGGGGTCTAATTACTAGTCTGTCACAGCTACGGGCCTCACATAGGGCAAGGATTTCAATGGGGCTCTTCACAAGGCACAGAGTTATAGTTGTACTCAGAGCTCTTTGCAAAATCAGGGACTAAACGTTTAGCAGATCAGAAACGGAGACAATTTTTTTCTGCAAACATTTCACTGTGTCTTGTGGAGAAAGTTTTCCTCACCAAAACTTTCCAACCAGCTCCAGTTGTAAGTGACATGAGTTTAGATATTTCAACATGCACATCACAATAGCATT